TGGTATTGGTATTCGGTATCGGCGAATACTGGAAAAAAAAAATATCGCTATTCGATACCGAAAAAACTGTATCGGTGCATCCCTATTAGTAACGATAACAAAAATATGGAAGAGCAGCATTTCACAACCGCAAACAGCTGGCCAGCCGCAGGGCTGTAGCTACCATGGGGCGAGTGAGGCACTTGCCTCAGGCGCAGCTGAGAGGGGGCGCAGCCAGGGCCGGCCTGACTGCAATCCCTTACCCCTGTTGTCATGGCGAGCATAGGGTGCCATTGGCCAAAGGAAAAACAGGAGCGGCACAGGCTCCAGCTTCTCCTCGGATCCTCGCTGCTCTCCCTGCCTGTATGGGCCGAGGACTTTGTGTCCCTCAATCTCTTTTTCTATTTCATAAGGGAAATGTTAGGGATCTGCTTAGACCCCAAATTTTTCCCTGAAACCCCCCCAACAGTACAAAAAAATAATAATAAAAAAAGAAACACACACCTCCCCCCCCACATATATACACATATTACTAGACTTGTGCAAAGACTAAAAATTTGTTTAATTACTTTCGTCAAAAGAAAATACATTTTATGCTCTTCTGGATTCGGCCACCAACACATTCCGAGCATGCGCGTCGCCACCCTGGAGTCTGGGCGCATGACGTCACATACCGCACACGTCTGTTGGGGAGCACAATTTTCTGTTCTTGCCTCGGGCGCAAAAGCTACGGCTCTGGCCAGCCGCAAATGATTTTAATTCACTTCTATGACTTAGCCACAAAAAGTGAACGCTGAAGTAATGACGTAGCACAACTTTGACCTGTAGCTGCAAAAAAATCATGTCAATGATAAATTACCAGCGACTACAGTGATTATCACATTAGCCATTTGTAGTAGCGACAAATCACTTCTACAAAATGGCCAGGGTGACTAGACCCAAACGCCTAGTATAAAGTACATAAGCAAAGGATGCACCCGACCGTGCTCCCAATTACACAGACCATAGTGGGTTTCATATGCAGTTAATGATCAGTTTATCCCACTGGTGCTTTTTTTTTTTTTTACACTCTCACTATAGTAAGACTTGAAATAGGGCTGTGAATGTGGTACTGGGAAAAGTTACTGGACTCATACACAATACCTTTCTATAAAGTATATCAAAACAAAACTCTGATTACTGTGGTATATGGTTCCCCTTTGTGTTTCCAGGTTGTTCCTACATACTCACCCTATTTCTTCTGAGGCTGTTGGGTTGATGCCTTGTTTTATCATATTTGTTGGCACTGTCCTATGGTCAGGCATTTCTGGAGCAGGGTGTACCAACTTCTCTACATGGTCACGGGTAGGTACTTTCATAAGGACACCTACGAAGCATTACTTCACAAAAAGCCCATTCTAATTGTACCCTTTTCCAATTTTAATTGGTCAGTTATATTCTTACTGAAGCCAAATGAGTCATAGCATGAGCATGGAAGTCCCCCACAATTCCTTTAACAGGTCATGTTTTTTTGTGATGCTTTCAGCCATACAAAGTGACAGTACAAAATTTCTGGAAACATGGGCACCATGCATTCATTTCTATTTCCCCTGCTCTTTTCATAAGGGCTCCCTGACTATATAACTTCTATTTCAAGCGGTGCTTCCTTCCCCACCACCCTGGAGAACTTCTCTAGGTGGTTCCATACCCAGTCACCTTGTGTGCTTTGGCATTAAATATTTATGTTGTTCTGTTTGGTTTCTTTAAGCTGAAAGCTACCAGTGTTCCACTTACAATGTCACAGATTTGTTGTGTACTCTTGAACGTCGTATGTTTTAATATACTGTATGTAGTTAACTCACTTTGGTTACGGAAGTTTACATCCACTTTCATAATGTATGTTTTGTGAAGAGCAATAAAAATGCATTGAATGAAAAATAAATCAAAATATTTCGATTGTTACATCACATTAACTGCTTGAAGACCAGGTGTTTAGATCCCCTACCTGGCCAGGCCATTTTTCAGTGTTCAGCGCTGCGGTACTTTGACTGACATTTATTCCGTCACGCAACGCTGTACTGAAATGAATTTTATACCATTTTTTGGGGACAGATAGAGCTTTCTTTTGGTGGTATTTAATCACCACTGCGGGTTTTATTTTTTACTATATTCAGGAGAAATTACTGAAAATTTTGAGAAAAAAACTTTTTTTTTACATGATGCTATAAAACAACTAATATGACCCACTTTTTTGGTAAAATATAAAAGATGGGGTCACGTCGGGTAAATAGACACCAAACATGTCAAGAAATAAAATCACATCACTAGGGATGCACTGGAATTTCAGTTAAGAATGGTATTATGGGGAAAATGCCGGTAGCACTAAAAGGGGCAAAATGCAGTGCATCCCTAGCTTCTCTCCTCCCAGCTGGGCCCTGGTCTGTGACCCCCTTCAATCCCCGCTGCTCTCCTCACTTGTGTTGGCAGAGGCAGCCGGGATCGGAGGGGGACACAGAACCAATCCAGCTGCCGGTGGCCCAGCGGAGTGTAGAGAAGCTGTCGGGAGGTGGCCGAGCGGTGCGGGAGGAGAGAAGGGCCTCCTGTGGCAGGTGGAGCATTCAGGATAGAGAGCGAAGCACAAACACTCAGCGATAACTACTGTTTGTAAATAACTTAGTACATATGAAACCTACTGTGTCCCCAGTTATGGATGAACAGGAAGTGCTCTACATCACTACCTGTTCATTAATGATTGTGGACATTGTAACTGATACTATCTCCTCAGTTTATGAATAAACAGGAAAACTCAGTATAGAGGATTCCTGTTCATTCATAACAAGGGCTGCAGAAAAAGAGATTTAGAACTCCGTGTCCTCAATCTCTTTTCCTATTTTAAAAGGGAAATATTAGAGGTCTGTTTAGACCCCTGATTTTTCCCCAAAGCCCCTGACCGTAAACTTTAAAAATTGAAAAATAAAAGAATAAAAAAATAATTTAAAACATTTTAAAAAGGCTGGGAAAAAAAAAGTAATTTTTAGTTTCGGCCTGACAAATTTTTATATTTCAGTTTCGGTCTAAAAAATTCCATTTTGGTGCATCCCTACATATCATATATTTTTTCAGTTATGAACTTATTGATACTTAGATGTAAGGCATCATCAAAAGACATTAAGGCCCCGTTCACACCTTTCCGTTTTGTAGCGCGTTCAACGCTCTATGAACGCTCTACAAAACGTACAACCATGAAAATCCCATTGTTTTCTATGGGTATGGTTCACACATTTCCGTATTTCCGCCTGTCTGAACGCCCTACAAAACGGCTGACGCCCAAACAAGTACATGTACTTCTTTGGGCCGTTTTGGAGGGCGTTTTCCATTGGGATACAGCCAAGTAGCCTTTGGAATCGCGCGACGGTCGCGCGATTTTTTTACCGCGAATCGCGGTAAAAAAAACGCGTGCCGGTCGTGCGACAGACGTGCATGCGTAATACGCCTAACCCTCTGTTACTGTGATACTGTCTATAGTCAACTCATTTCACAGTTTTCTGTATTTTCAGGACTGGGCCTAATTATATGAATAGAATTTGAATAAAATGTATCTGAAGCAGACAACTGAATTCCCCAAAAAAATGTATGCTAAACAAATATCAGTCCGATCATGTATTTGTATACATGATCAATAAATAAATATGTGTCTACAATAAGGTGACCAGATTTGTAAAATTAAATCCGGGGACATTTTTTTTTATTGGCAAATGGTTAAAAAAAAAACTATTTTTTTAGCATATTTTCCTCAAATTATAAATGCAGTGTATTTGGTGAATTTGGAAATGTCCCGGGAACATAAAATAACAAAAATAAAAATGTTATACTCACCTGATCCCTGAATCCACCAACGAGCGCAGCCTCCCGACGCCCACGCTATCAGAAGCTGCACACAACGTGACCCGGTTACTATTTAAACCGGCGCGCGTTGTAAGCAACTTCTGACAGGCTGCGCTATTAGCGTAGCAGGAGATACGCAAAATGCGCAGCCGACTTCCTCGCTATGCTACGGTAATAGCGTGTCTTCTCAGCAGCTGCACACAGTGCGCCGGTTTAAATAGTAACCAGCACACGCTGTATGAAGCTTCTGCCAGTGTGGGAGACGGGAGGCTGTGCTCGTCTGTGAATTCAGGGATCACGAGAGTATAACAAATTTTTATTCTATGTTTCCGGGGACACTTCCGGGGTCATAATTTGTCCGGGGACGGTCTCCTCAATCCGGGAGCTATCCCCGGAAATCGGGGACGAATGGTCACCCTAGTCTACAATAATTTTGCACTTAAAATAAAGTTTTGAAGTACATTTTATTGCATTGTGTATTTTTTGTAACTCACTTTAATGTCTATTTTAGATAAATTTGGATCAAATGACATGTCCTGATGAAATATAAAACCGCTAAACGTGTTGACTGCGAGCAGATTCTTAGTAACTTATTTTTGATGACGTCTCATTTCTTTGTGTCAATAAATTCATGAAGATACATGATGTTGTTTTATTGTAATTTTGATGTGATGTAACAATAAAAATGTTTTTATATATTTTATGTTAAAATAATGTGTATGAATCAAGTAATGTTTCCCAGTACTACATACAAAGACCCATTTTGCTCTATAAGATATGTCTCCTGGAGTATTATCAAGGGGGGTGCAGTGTGCAAAGAAATATGGACTTGAATTAAATGATTTGTGGATTACATTTTTGTAATAGAAATGTGGGTTGGCTATAAATGCAACAATGTAGAAATTTGTTCACAAGTTTTGTGCAAAACAGGTACTTTAATACATAAGACAAAAATAAAGTGCAATTTGGTTCCCAGCGCTGTATATGAGCGCTATACTTTCACTATCATTCCAGCCTGTAGGACAGCACGCATGCGTGCTAAACTACCCACCGTAGCTTTTCCCTGATCAAACATGGCGGCGCCTGGGTACGGCTGCGCGGTTGCCACGACAACGCACCGCTCAATGACGCCATCTCCGGCGGAAGACAAGGAAAATGTCGGAAATGGAGGTGGATGTGTGTGGCGATCTGTTGGACAATGGGCCCAGGGGCCACAGCAGCGTGGAAAACCAGGGCCACTACGTCCTCAGCACCCTGGCCGAGGTGGTGGAGAGAGTGTTCAGCTTTCTGCCTAGCAAAGCCCTTCTGATAGCGGCCTGGTGGGTCTGTGTAGCCTGTATACATGTTCTGTGCCTATGGTGTTTCAGAGGGGTCAGTGGCAGCTGTGCCAGGGAGCAAACCACCTTGTGTGATATGCTTATTATAGAATGGTCCCTGGCTTAAATATTAAGTTCACTTATTGTGGGTGCCAAGTTCCATTTGTATTATGTATTCGGATTCTTTGGAGTTTTTAATGCCATTCTATTCAATGTCCTTAATAAAAAAAAAGTGTATTTATTAGAATGCCATGATGTACCTAGCTCTCTTAGATATTAGATGGTGTGTTCCTATCTTATGAACACTGCTTAGCACAAGAATTATGTTATAAAGGTGATCTCTGTCTCATCTGGTAAGGTTCAGGCTGCTGAGCATGGTGGATGGTTATTGTATAGCCACAGCCTGTCATTTATTTGCACAGATGGGCTGTACATAACACCTGTGGCTCCCGGGAGCAGAGATCCGGGTGATTTTTTACAGTACAGAGATCTCTGTGCCTGTGTGAATGAGACCTATGGCCTTGTTCTTGTGGGCTGCAGCTTGTCTTAGAGCAATGTGTACAGCAGGCTTTGGCAGAGCTTTTCTAGCGCCTTTAAAGCAGCACTTAGCTTCAGTTTGGGGAGGTTAAAGCCTCTGCGTAAGGTCCACTTTTTGCAGTGGGCACCCCTGCCTTTTGCAAAGGCAGCGTAACAAAATAAAAACACATGTAGGGGGAGAACTTCCATGGTGACCTCATCCTGCTGAAGAGATCTCAGGGAATGCCGAATATTCCAAATCTGGGGAGCAGATGCTGCAGCGCAGTGCCGGGAAAGTCTTCTCTATGAGAGTTTGAGTAATCTACATGGTCCAGATGTTGCACCTTGTCTAGGCACTGCGGACGAAAGCTAGAGATAAAGGTAAGTATACTATCCCCTTACTTCAAGGGTTACCTGCTATTTTTTTTTTTGTCTAGGTCAGGGGTAGGCAACCATGGGTCTCCAGCTGTGCTGAAACTACAAATCCCATAAGGCATTGCAAGCCACAGGCATGACTCCCAGAGGCAGAAGCATGATGGGATTTGTAGTTTCAGCACAGCTGGAGAGCAAAGGTTGCCTACCCCTGGTCTAGGTGCTAAAGAAAAAAAAGTTATACTCACTTTACCAGTGAGCCGGCTTGTTCTTAGACCAGTCCTTGCAGCCTCTCTCCCCCTCCGCTGCAGCGGTCTAAGGTCTCGTAAATGATCACGTTCTATGCATAGGGGGGAATTTATCAAAACTGGAGTAGACAAAATCTGGAGCAGTTGACCATAGCAACCAATCAGCTTCTCACTTTAGTTTGTCCAGCTGAGATTTGAAAATGAAAGATAGAAGCTGATTGGTTTCTCATGCACAGCTGCTCCAGATTTTCTCTGCTCCAGTTTTGATAAATCCCCCTCATAGTGTATAGATGTAAGGACACCAAGGAACACTTCAATGCTGCTGCATAGGAGCAGAAAGGATTCAGAGACCAGAGAAGCAGGGAGCTGGTTCAGGTGAATATAACTTTATTTTGTAGCACCTAGACAGAAACGAGTAGCTAACCCTTCCACTGCCAGCGTTAAACGTTTTGCCTGGAGTTTTCCTTTAAAGCCACACTGCCACTGAAAACAAATCGCAGCACAAAGTTCCTGTAAAATTAATAATTAAGGTTATACATTGCTGTTCTGGCACCTGTTTGTGGAGTCTTTGCTCTGTTGTACCTCAAAGCCACGCAAAGAATCTTCATGTCTGACCCACTCAGGGTTTGTCAGATTCTTGCATCCCCTGCTGTAGTGACATTGGGGCTGGCTGGTGGGAGGGAGCCACAGAAGGCCCTCAGAAGAGTGTCAGATTGAAGATACGAACAGGGTTATTCCCAAAAGGGTGAAGAGTTTGGAGAAGCCAGGAGAAGTGAACATTCTAGGACAACATAGCTGGACTGGAAAAATACTCCAATTCAGCTCCCTTTGAAGTTCAGCTATGTTGTCCTAGATTGGTCACTTCTCCAAACTCTTCACCCTTTTGTGAATAACCCTGTAAGTGTAGCTTTGTATTGGAGCACAGAGAAGAGTCCACAAACAGGCACCAGACCAGGTCAGTGTGACCTCTGTTCCTTTATAGGACCTTTTTGTGTTTGTTTTTTCTTCTGAGCAGCAGGGTTTGTCACTTTAAACAACATGCTAGCAGGCTTCAGTACACGTCAGCCCTACTTGACGACTGTGTAAAGCCTGCTTCTTCTGCAGGAAACAATTTCTGACTTCACTTGCTGCATACTTATTATGGGTCAGTGGCTCAGTGTATTGAAGCCAGAGATAGCCAAGCAACTATGCCTGTGAAGGTTCTCATTTCTCCAGGTCATGGTATAGCTAGTAGCCGTTAGTCACGTTCACTAGACTTGTTCTGTAATGTTGAATGCACTCACCAAAACTGAAGAAGCTTCTTGGATAAGCTCCTAAACATCGTCAACAATACAGAACAAGTCCAGCTGAATGTGACTAACCCAGGGCTGGACTGATTCCAGGAGTCAGGTAGCCAATGCTCTTAAAAAGTGACAGCTGATGCCTAACTATTGAGGTTTTTTCTAGTTGTTGTCAGTGTAGCTGGCTCCTAAAAATCCCGCCGGCTCCTGGATTGGAAAGACTGGTTCCTGAATTCCATATTAATTTGTCCACTCCATGGACTAACCACGACTAGCTAAGCCAAGGAACCAGCATATTTGGAAAAAGGTTGGCCATGGTATCCCCCATATTTTTCTCAATGCAGGTTTCCTTTAAAATGCCACTGAAGTCAAAACTTCTTTTTTTTTTTTTTAGTTGTGGATGGAGGGAAGAGGGATTAGAACACCTTTTGGGTTTTTATTGCTGTCTGTGTCCCCATTACGGACATTCACCCTCTCTACTCATTCTGGTGACCGTTATAATTAGAAGTGAAAGAAAATCCTAACGTTTGGGATGTCATCAGAACAGGACAAGATGGGAAATCTTTCAAGGGCCTCTAGTTCTGGTGACCTTGCTGACCACTTATAAACAAAGATGTCCCCTGCACACCATGCAGCAATAGAGACCAGAAGTAATGGTGGTACCTGTAGTGATGTCCACGGACGGCGCCATGCACATACAGAGTAACATACAGAATTGAGGATCACCAGCACTCATGGATAAAATAACGTTGGGTATTCAACACACGTGACACGTTTCTTCAATAAAAAGAACATTTGTATTTATTTCATCCCAGGAGTGCTGGTGATCCTCAATTCTGTTTACTCTGCTGACAACCAGGAATTTCCCTCTTATTGGTGAGATTTGACTGTGTGCTTGTGGAGACACACACAGCTTACTAAGCACATACAAGAGTGGCTCCGTAAGACCCTGCAAGGGAAAGGAGCTAGCATAAAACAGGAAGTCAGGCCAGTGCTTGGAGGACCAGCTGATTTTGCAGGAAACTAAAACTTTTAAACATCAAGGAGCGGCATCCATTGTAAGTGATGTATTCAATATTTGAAATAGCATAAAAATCTTTAAGATCATTTTTTTTTATCCTTTAACAAAAGATAACAAAGTGATTATGTCTCGTGTTCCTATTCACTTCCTATAATACTCTGTTTTTGGTTTCAGTGTCTGCAGACTGTGGAGGGATAGTGCTTGGCGCAAGTTGAAAGCAAGGCAAAAAATAACATGGATCTCCTCCCTAGGAGCAGGAGACTTGGACTTGGATGGTCACTCGCTGGTCCATGTTGTGAGAGAAGAGCTTGAGGTATGACACTTTAATATGAACTCATTTGCATTGCAATTTCTGATTTGTTTAATCTTGCTACTACATCATGTCTTTGGCTTTTGTATAAACAAGGGAAGAGTATTGAAGTAGGACATAAAGGTAATAGCAAATGATTCCATATTGTAGTGAACATGTTGCTTTTTCCTCTGGGTAACAGAATAAGCAAAGTGTAACTGCAAGCATGTGCGCCGAGCTGCATGCACAACTTAGTGCACAGGTTCTGCATGCCAAGGTGAAGTAACTCCTGTGGGCATAAGTGGGGTTTGCTTTGGCAGGTGAGTCTGCCATAATGTGCTAATATGCTGTGCATACTACACATTATGGATAAAAGCACCAGGGGCCCAGTTTGTTTTTTAAACTGCTTTACTTCTCCTTAAAGTGACCCTAAGCTCAGGAGTTCAATCTTAAAAATGCATTCAAGTACCCTAACTATTAACAAAAATGTATCTTGTGTATCACTCAGCTGTAGATCCTCAAATCATCTCTGAACTGGTGCTGACCCTGTCCTTCCTTCTGGAGGGTGGCTTCTTTTGTTCCCCATGGTCCCTGTGTGTGTTGTACAGTAGCCACCGCTCCAAGCCCACTCCTGTTATAGACTAAAATAGTTTACTAATTTGTATTGACGTTGTAGTCTATCACAGGTACTTTACAACACACACAGGGAGCATGGGGAGCAAAAGTAGCCACCCTCCAGAAGGAAGGACAGTGTAGGCACCAATTCAGAGATGATTTGAGGATCTACAGACGATGTGATACACAAGATACATTTTTGTTAATAGTTATGACACCTGAATGCATTTTTAAGATTTAACTCCTGACTTTAGTGTCACTTTAAGTGTCTGAAAGCACCATGTCATCCACAGTAGCTAATTCAATTCTTTCTTTAATTCTGTATCCTGTCCTAGGAACATGAGAGAATGAATCTATTTTGGCACTATGGACAACACAGGCAAATGTGGTTTCAAACATCACTCATGCATGAGTAAATCTGGTGTCTGATAGGTAGATGGTTTTTTTTTTTTTTTTTTTTAGTATGAAGCCAGGTGTTCAGTTTAGCATTTAGCTTGCACCAGAATTTACCATACGATGCCTAGCATGTAGCCAGAAGATCCCTTTGTTCCATGATGAGCAGGAAGTTGTACAAATTGTTTTGTTCACTATCGTGACTATCTCAGAGCAAAGGGAGATGTCTATTGTATTTAGTAGACAGAGATTGCTTTAAAGTGACACTAAACTCAGCAGTTAAATTTACAAGATACATTCAAGTACCTTAACTATTAATAAAACTGTATCTTATTTGTGTAACATTTGGCTGTAGTTTGTCAAATCATCTCTGAATTGGTGCTGACACTGTCCTTCCTTCTGGAGGGTGGCTACTTTTGTTCCTCATGGTCCCCGTGTGTGTTGTAAAGTAGCCACCACTCCAAGCTCACTCCTGTGATGGACTACAATCTCACTTTTAGTTTACTAATTTGTATTGAGATTATAGAGATTGTACCGGTTACTGCTTTAGGCCTCATTCACACACAACACAAGCAAAATTGTATATTGCATATATACGAGCGTCTATGTGTGCACTATTTGCATTCCCAGAATGCATCCATCGTAATGGAAATTTTAATGAACTGTATGCACATACGCGCGTATACACGCGCAAACATGCGTATGCACGTACAATACGCAGAAATGCGCTGCCCGGACGCATCTCGGTTCCATTCTGTTTTTGCGCATATATACGCTACGCAAATATACGGCTCCATATGCGGCTATGTGTATGGAGCCATTTATTTGCATATGGTACAGTACGCGCGTATATGCGCGGCAGTGTGAATGAGGCCTTACAACACACACACAGGGACCATAGGGAATAAAAGTAGCCACCCTCCAGAAGGAAGGACAGTGTCAGCACCAATTCAGAGATGATTTGAGGATCTACAGCCGAGCGATACACAAATAAGATACAGTTTTGTATCTTATTCAGGGTATTTAAATACATTTTTAAGATTTAACTCCTGAGTTTAGTGTCAGTTTTTTGTTGTTGAAGCTGTCCATTAAATATTATTGTACTGTATGCATATCTAACATATATTGCTTGGTTTATGGTTGGATATAACTAAATGTTTAATGTTTTTTGTTTTTTTTCCTTATAGAAAATATATATTATTCCGGAAATGTTTCTGTACTTCACAGACTCCGAGTCTCTTAATGACCGTGGAGCACAGTCTGGGCCAAAGAAGCGTAAGATGGTGTAAAATACATTCATACATAGTTATTTCATGTCTGCCCATAGTAACTCTATGTCAAGCGTGTCCAACCTTTTACAATGAAGGACAACATTCATTGTATTATCGTGGTTACAGGGGCTCGGATCAATAACCAGCCAACACGTCACTTCTGTTTAGACCATCTTAAACCATTTGATGTGGGACATAAAAGCCACATTACAACATTAACTTCATGTTGCAAGAGTCTGCAAATATTACTGGATACTACTTTATCACCAGAGAAATGTATTGTTAGACTGGCATGCACCCGGTTGGAAACTTGCCTCTTCCTGTGTAGATGTGATTATGGGGGTCCTTTGTGGCTCAGACACCTGTGATTGTTGTTCTGTGGCACATAGAAAGCACCTGGGAATTCCAGTTCTTATCATAAGCTAATACAGTTATTTAGTTTAGTAATCTTACATATGTCACACTGTGCCACCAATGAGTTGATGGCTTAGGGCTATAGGTAATGAATCTGCAGGCTTTATGTTGTACAGCACTGTTCTAGTCCATGAAATGGTACACACCTCTTACAGGACATGGGTCTATGAGAGTACTGTTTTGGATGAGTTCCATGTGCAACGACTTGAGATCATAGTAAAAACCATTCATCGTAGTTCCTGGTAATGTCTCTGTGACACCCAGACGGTGGCCACTAACTGGCTTAGTGCACACATTTAGATCTGTGGTTTTAGAATTAACAAGAGTCAGAACCATCAATGAAACACCACCTCACAGCCAAAATGTGAAGAAGACACTTCTTCAGGGGTACAAGTACTCCTAAAAACGAGATGACACGGGGATCTTTACACACACATACACACACACAATAGGTTGGACTTGATGGACATATGTCTTTATTCAACCTCAAATACTATGTAACTATGTAACACTAAAGCCCAACTCCAGCCAAAATGGGATGGGATATCTCTCTGACTGGGACACAGATGAAAACAGAGTGGGTAAATATTACACAATGTTTTTGTTGTATGTGGCTTCCTGACCCAGTGACCACCATTACTTGTACTGGTATTGAAGGAACAGGAAATGGTGGAAAATCTCCCTAATTGGGCCACAGACAGAAATATACTGACATCGTTTATGATATCTCATTACAGTGATTGTGTTTTTAAGCTTTAATGTTTTTTATTTATGCAAAGGCACATCATTCGTCCCACATGCATCTAAATCAGTGGCAGCTAGAAATATGACCTACACCACATATTACAAAAATGCAGTTTAACACAAATATTTAGTTTTTGGGGTAGATGGTTGTATAACAAATAAATATGAACTTTGACTGGATCTTGGTAACCTCATTATGTTTTTGATACTCTACCTCTGATTTGCATAACCCATTCATTCTGCATGCCGCCTGAGTTATGTCTCAGTAATGTTACCCTCTCAGGGTTCTGTTTAAGTTGGCTTTTTCCTCTTTCAACCAGCCAAAAAGAAACACGGTTCAGAAACGGCATCTGCCTTGGAGAAGCTTCTACCTAGTAAATGTCAACTTGTTGGGCTTGCTACACCAGGAATTGTAGGTAATATAAACAGGTTTCATCTCCTGTGGATTTCACCTGGGTTTTGTAGTATTTTCTTTATTACAATTGACATTTGTACCAACAATAATAATTGACTGCTATTGCTCAGCTGCAGATTTTCATTGTTGGGGGTTAACGTTTATAATAATAATTTTTAATTATTTCAAGCAGTCATTGTGAATGAATCTGACCACGTCTGTTTGATCATTTTAATTTGGTTGTTATTAGGCTGTTCCAAACTTAGGAACAGCCATTAATAACCTTAGTAGCATGCCACATTCTTTCAGAATAGAAACATGTAGCTAAATGTTTCTACTCTGAAACATTTAGCAAAAAGCCGGTACACAGCGGGAACTCCTAATCCAGATCTGTACCAGCTGTCAAACGTGTCTGTAAAAGCTTAACTCTTCCCTTAATGGATGGTAACTGCTGATTCTCAACGGTTACCGGCATTGCAGATCCCCAAATAGCTGCTCACGTACGGTGTATGAGCGCAGTCATTTGGGCACTTCGTAGCGAGGACATACAGTGTACGTCTCCCATCATGAAGGGGTTAAATATTTAGATGTGATGTCACTACAGTTTAAATTTTTAATTTTCTCACTTTTTTTTTTTATCAGTTACTCCCATAGGATCTCCAAATAATCAGCCAGTGGAGATGGAAGATGGAGTGTCTGGCTTTGCACTTCTGTTCCCCAAAATCGCTGGAGTCAAAATCCAAAAATTTCAGTTCTTCAAAGACTCGAAGTGTAAAGTATTCGATGAGAGCAAACTTGAAGAGGCTGGTGAGCTGACTTTGTTTAACACACAAAATAGGAACCTATGATGTAGTACTATTGTGTGTGTATAGATAGATGGTCATGACTAGGAGCCATAGACTTTCTACCGTTGCTAATTACAAGAATCACACAAAGTTCACACAATCATGTGACTTTGGTAATGCTGATATGTGCCTATTGATCCATATAATGTTTTAATGATGAGTGCATGGAATACCACTGAATCCTATTTTGCTCATTTCTATAGAATGAACCTTGTTATTTTCCTTGCTATTGTACTGTCATATTTTTTTGCAACCATAGCTGGCTTGGCATAACTCTGATGTTGGGGTTACTAAGCAGTTATTTATTTAATAGAAAATGTGTCAGGGTTTGTGTAAAGAAGGAATATGTCCGCCATAGTGGTGCACTGTATTTAGTGGTTATATTGTGAGGTTTTTGTACTTAGTTTTTTACAACACTTTGTAGAATCTTAAAGTAAATACATCACATAGCTGGGCATTTAAGCTGAACAAAAAAGACCATCTAATCAGAGATTATCTTCTCTGGAAACCCCTGTCAAAGTCGAGATGACTAGCAGATCCGGGGTTATAGGCAGCTGACGTTTTATGCTAATCTAGGCTTTTCTACCTAAAGGTGAGCTTGAGCCAGCCACCTCCCACCATCTAAGACTGTTGGTCTTAGGTGTTCTTATGGCCAATAATTAGGCTTGGGGCCAAGCTCCATTTTTACAGTAGAAGTTACAATCTGCGTACAACTTCAGCTTCTGAATTCACTGATCATCTACAGCTCTGTAGTCACGGATCATTTTGTCATGTCATTTTTACTGAAGGTAGCCTGATTATCTAAAAGGAAAGTCATATTTACCTTTTACAGTGGATGATGAGCCAAATCTTTGCTCTCTTGAGGAGCTAAGGTTGCTACAGCTATCCAACGCTTTTATGTCAAATAGCATGTCCCCAGCAGGCCGCTGGGGTTCCTCCTGCCAGCTCCTGTGCCACTACTGCAGTGACATAGCTGCTGGTAGGAGGAACTACAGAACACAGTGTGGGGAAACGCCATCTGACACATCAAGAAGTGTTGGATAGCAGCAACTCCCTTAGCTCTTCAATAGTGTGTAGATCTGACCTGCTGTCTGGCAGAAGTGTAAGTATTAAATAGGGATGCACCAATACCATTTTTTTTTTTTTGGTATCGAGTACCGATATTTATTTTTTGTTACTGGTGGATACCGGTACTTCCGCAAGCATGGAGCCGGCTTTCTGGGCAATCAAGAAGCCGGGCGGCAGGTACAGGTGAAACTCGAATAATTAGAATATCGTGCAAAGTTCATTTATTTCACTAATGCAACTTATGCGGTGAAACTAATATATGATATAGACTCATTACATGCAAAGCAAGATAATTCAAGCCGTGATTTGTCATCATTGTGATGATTATGGCTTACAGCTCATGAAAACCCCAAGAACCCCAAATCCACAACCTCAAAAAAGTAGATTATTACATGCAATCAATAAAACAAGGATTGTACATAGAACAATATCTGACCTCTGAAAAGTACAAGCATGCATATGTACTCAGTACTTGGTTTGGGCCCCTTTTGCAGCACTTACTGCAATTACTTTTGCACGATATTCTAATTATTTGAGTTTCACCTGTAATTACATGTTGCCCGGTTTCTTGATTGCCCAGGAAGCCGCATGGAGCCGGCTTCTCGGCCAAACAGGAAGTGCTCAGGGATGTTCCCTCGTGGGAAATCTCCCTCTGACCGGAAGTCAAAGCACTTGGACGAGTACTCCCCCAAATACTCTGTATCGGCACCTATACAGATATTAGTATCGGTGCATCCCTAGTATTAAACTTCCTCTTTACAGGGTCCTTGTGTTTTATATCTTTACTGTGGTAACGGGGTTGCTTTATGGCTGATTACAGCAGTATAGTTTGGCTTCTGAATTTTCCTCTTAAGTTTCTTAATTGTGGTTTACAGGTCTTAAAAATAATCCAGACCTGCGTGTGGTTCTGATCTTTGGATACAACACATGGAAACATGGAGCTACCCGTTTCTTACATCAAGTCTTAAACCCTCTGAATGAGAAAAGTATTATCATTGCTGGGGGCCAGGTTGAGTACCTTGCATCATTTTCCTCACAGGTGTAAGTATTCTTTGTTAGATTAGTATATATGTTAACTTTTTTTTTGAGTAGAAGTATCATTTTCTAGCGGTACCCCCAAATGCTTGTAATGCAGGAGGTCATTCTACACCCATGCAGCAGAGCAGACACATTTTGCCAGGAAACTGCCATTTCAATTACCTAATTTAATTTTAATGTGCATGATAGTATCCTAGGAACAATCTCAACAGGATAAGAAGGAAGTTTACACAACTCTTATGCTTTATTGTATGAGTAGTCCAGCATAATGGATCACTTCTTTAACTGACACTGAAACTTCATGATTAAAGGGTCTATGTTCCCAAAGCAGATGTTATGGGTTGATGCTGATGAATCCTTTTCCATTTTATATCTAGTCCACTTAGAATTACCTAGTGTAGCCCCTCATCCCATATTTTGAAATCCTGCTTCAATAGAAAGTCCAACAAAAGTACAAGATGGAGCCTCCTCTAACTCAGCATTTCTCAATCTTTTGTCGGCTATGGCACTCTTTAGAAGTATGCAACATTTCGAGGCACCCAGTTCTAACAGGAATGAAAAAATATCTGGGAGATCTTTCTTATTTGAGATGGGGATCTGGTATGGATTTTAGGGTGGGACCCCATGCAAAAGCACAAAAAAGTGCCCCCCCCCCCCCTTCACATCCTCATTAGAACCCTCCTTTTACATTAGGAGGCTGTTTAACATCAGCAGCCCCCTCTTTTCACATAATAGTTACTTCCTATCACAGTAGGAGCCCTCCTGCACATCAAAGGCATGATGCTGCATGAAAATTTTGAGGCACCCTTGTTGAGAAAGGCTGCTTTAACTTACTGCATCGGATGGGTGTAACTGGGGACATTGCCAGTGGAGTCCCAAAACTTTAATAATGCAAAGGTTGATTAAGACCCCCAAAACTATAATAATGCGCCGGTTGATTAGGACCCGTATCTGACATATAATTTAGGGTAGGTTCACACCTAGGTGATTCAGATGCCTAGCTGTTTTCGCGCGACTGTGAAAACCATGCGGTTATCAATGCATAGAGATGTCAATGGGACCCAAACCGCTCCTGCACCTTTTCGCACGACAGGCGATTTCGTCCACGAAACAGCAAAGGTGTGAACAGACTCCATTGACTTCAATGTGAATGTGTTTTGCGCAATAAATGTGTGAACCTAGCCTTAGTGGACTGACTCTTTAACCACTTGACCTCTCAACACCTGTATTCCTCCTATGGACCAGAGCAACTTTTACATTTCTGCCATGGGCCTGTTTATTTGGCAATAAATGTGTCATTGCTTAGGGTTATAAAGTAATACATATAATATTTGGTGATAGTGCCTTTCAAAATTGATTTTTATTTTTCATCTACATTTTAGAAATCCTCAGGGAACAGACTGTATTGGTGTAGTTGGCCTGGCACTGAGTGGACAACAGATCCAAGGAGCCACAGTTCTACTGGACCAAGATGTCTATGATGAAAAGACCGCGGACTCTGCCATGCAGCGCCTTAAAGCTGCCAGTATACCCACAGAAAACAGCGTGGGGCTCATGTTTGCATGCGTTGGCAGAGGAGAGCAGCACTACAAGAAGAAAAATGTTGAAGCAGACTCTTTTCGGAAGCACTTTCCCAATGTGCCTTTGCTTGGTTTCTTTGGCAATGGCGAGATTGGCTGTGACAGGGTAGTGGGTGGAAATTTTACACTGCGAGAGTGTAACGATGAAAAGGACAACCTTTTACATGGATACACAACAGTGATGACATTAATTCATTTTGGACCATCAAAGTAGTACCCACTATTCCCAAAAGTGGTAGCAGATGGATGATGACATTACCAGACCTATAATCGGGGTTCTCCACATTACTGCCAGCAATGTGGGCTAGTGTGTGCCAGTCACCACAAGTGATACTGCCTCAAATGAAGAAATGGTTCCTTTGTCAAGTTCTAATAATTCTCCTTCAGTGACTTTAATAAATGTGATGCCTTTATTGCTTTATTATAATTAAGCAGCCACCAGTATTCTCAGTGTCTGTCTGTATGAATATATGTATATCAGATATTCGTTAATTTGCTTTTAGAATATATGATGCGTATAGGTAATGATTACAGAGAGAGGGAAATACAGTAACCCATTTCCAAATAACTATTATGAAAAATTCAAACCAGATCATTCAGATTGCAGATGTTTACTAATGCTTTGGGGTTAAATTGTTCCCTAGATAGGGGCTTGAGTAAGCATAGACTTTAGCACAGTTACTCCGAGACCAATCGGATACCTTGTAGCGATTCCTATTAAAAGAGAACTATGGGGTTAGGGCTTTTCCCCATAGTTCTCCTAAGGGTAACGGGAGGACATATACTAGCGTCCTCCTGTACCACTGAGATACCGGAACGGATCCCGAAAATGCTGTCTGGATTCACCCAGCTGCGTGATTGACAGCTGGCTCTGCCTATCTAGAGGCAGAACCAGCTGTACCCTCCCCCGTCCGTTCCGCCACTTGACGCTGGAGGATCAGACAGGAGGGGGGGGGAATGCCTGCAGGGAGCCGTGAGCGACAGTCACGGCTCTCTGCTGTGACAGGATCGAGAAGTTAACGAGCGCCGTATGTGTTCACTCCCCGATCTACTGAGCCGATCTGTGACAGTTTCATTGTCACAGGTCGGCTCAGATCATGAGGTGAGTGAAAAGCACTCACCTCATAGTTCTCCTTTTAAAAGGCGAAAAAAATTAAAAAGTGAAAATCTCGCCTCATAATTCTCCTTTAACTAAATAATGAATTCATATTGGTTGCTGTGACCAGCTCCTCCATTTTTACTCTTCTTTTTTTTTTTCTTGGTTTGCTGCTAATTTTTTACATCCCTGCTATTTGAGATGCACCGATACTAGTATCAGTGCCGATACCGAGTATTTGGGCGAACACTCGTACTCGCCCAAATGCTCCCGATACTTATCTCAATTTCGGAACTTCCGGGATCAGGAAGCCAGGCGGCGAGTCATTACCAGCCCCCTGGCTTCCTGATTGACCAGGAAGCCGGCTCCATGCTCCCTGGTGACTAGGGAACATGGAGCTGGCTTCCCGGTATCGGTGCTATAATATATATCCTATGTTTTCTAACAGGAGTCTGTTAAAATAAAAATGTAGGCCATTACATTACTGCTATGTTTGCAGGGTACAGGATGACAGGTTCACTTTATTATATATTATCATTATCCTAATGTTCCTAAACTTCATTTACAATCTGTTTTTAGTTTTATTCTCAAAACCTAAATCAAACCTACCTAAAGGTTGATTATGTTACAGCAAGCAGTGCTAAGATTCAAACCTTTGTTTTCCCAAACTCTGAATGCATTCTCTTCTGGAAAATGCCCTTAGAATTGACTTCCCCTTCTGTAAGCATTGTAAAACCGGCAAAAAAAAACACTTTACAGGACTGTTTTATCAACAACTGGTTGGCAGAGGGCAACAAAAAAAAACGGTTATTCCCCAATATAAAATCTTGTATTTTGCAGTAGTTAAGACTTGCCAGCATTTACAGCACCTGAGATATTAAATACACTGGAAGAAGTGAGAGTATACAGTATGTTGCCAATAGCAATCAGGTTTAACCCGTCTTGGAAAATTGTCAATTTTTGTGCATTTTTATATTTGAATGTTATTGTTTATATTACATAATTGACATGTTCTATTTATGTGGCCAGGATGTTATTTCTGCTTTAATTGTATTTACAATTAACAGTCCTGATAATTCTTTCGATCTATAATTTTAGGATGCTATGTGCAGTCTTCAAAGTTATCCTAAAAGAAGATAATAAAGAAACAGTTTTTCATTATTCTAGCCTTCTGGTTTGCTGTGAAAACCAATAATGCTTTTTCAGAATCAGTCTTTTTTTTTTTTTTTTTTT